TTCTCCATTGGCTCAGAACCGATGAGCATGTAGAAAACCAAATGATAAACAGGATGCAGGCTAGGGAAGAAATGGGTTGAAATCTTTCTGGAAGTCAAGGCAGGCTAATTGGGGAGAGAATGTTTAAGCTGATATGAGGAGGAGTGGGTGTTTTCAATGTGGACAATGGAAGGCAGGGGAGAGGGGCTTGGGTGAAGGTGACAGGGACAATGACATGGTGGCAGAGCATAAGGTACAGAGGCATGAAAGAACAAGCTGCATTCTGAGAACCACAAACTGTTTGCACTCAGTGACAGGAACATGGAGGTCAGAAACGAGAGAGAGCAGAAAGGTCTTTGGATATCATCTTGTTGATTAGTGTCTGTTGTGGCTGAGTAGATTTTTTAGCTTGCTTTATCTTAGTGAAGTTGTGGGATTCTAAAGACCTTTTATTTTTTTTATTGTCTGGGCCTACAACCCCAGCTGACATAATACTTTCAGAAATCTTGAGGCTTTTGGTGTATAGATATGTAATCCACTCTGAGACCAAAACTGTACCCACAAATCTCATAAGATGAACCCTTTTGTACCAGGTTCCTCACATGGACTCTTTGGTGTCCTGTTTAACAGAGAAATTCTCCATGGCCTGCCCTGAAGACCTGTAAAGGGCTTTGGTAGTTTACCAACACTTATTAAAGCCATTATCCTAACAGTACCTGATATTTGATCTTTTCTTAGACGCTGTTTCTTAATTTTTGCGTCGTTTGTCATCTGGAGAAGGTGGGAGGTAAAAAAAAAAATAGTTTCCTAACCCACCATGTCCTAGTTCCTGAATGCTCAAGGGTTGGTTCTTTAGTGCTTTCTCTCCTCTTGCCTTTGTTACCATAGGCAGTGAGAAGGAGTCAGGTGGCACTTTTGACATTCCACCTTGGAATCTCCTCAGCTATACCAGAGGTCAGCTGGTGAGCAGGTAGCATGTTTTTGTAATTAATGTCTGTAAATTCATGCCTATCTACCAGTCTTGCACATGGCAGAGCCAAGTGGTTGCAACAGAGACAATGTGACCCACACTTGACTGTAGAGTTGTTTTTCTATGGCTCTTTGCAGAAGGGGTTTGCTCACCCTACCCAAGACAATTGAGTGCATTAGATACATTTTTCATTTTCCAAAAGTAACAGTGTTGCCAAATCTATGCCACTGTATAACAAGGATTCCTCCTTTAATTTTCCAATAACAGGTTGCCCATAGCTAGACTAGTCCATTGGAAGGCAATCAGCACTCTTCAGTACTGTACTGCAACTGGGGTGCTGGGTCCAGCCTTCTCCACGTACTGTGTGGCCATCCTCCCACTGGGAATCCTGTCTGAGGCTGGCAAAGGACTCCACCATTTAATATAATTTCTCCTACAGAAGTTGGTCCGCGAAGCCCAATCGCAACTCCACTCCTGAACTTCTTATAGTTTTTGTGCTGATTGGGTTCCATTGCAGAGAACAGAGTTCGCCTGAGCTGACATGAGGACTGAAAAATTCATGACCGGCATTAAATGGCTTTTGGAATCATTGGAAGGGGTGAAGACACACATATGGGCTAAGCTTCCAGGAGTGTCTCATAAAGCTGCTGCAATAGATCCTGCTATTGCAGCAGCAAAGAAGACTAGGAAATGTGAGTTTTAGCTTCTTCAATGGTTTAAGTCTGCTTGTGTGGCTGTACAGCATGGACTGGTGACTTGAATGGCAGAGATTTGTTTTTTCACAGTTTTGGAGTCTAGAAATCCAGACCAAGGTACCCTTAGTGGTGGGCTTGAGAGGGCCATCTGTTTGCTGTATCCTCATGGAGGCTTTCCTCTGTGTTTGTGTGTGTGTGTGTGTGTGTGTGTGTGTGTGAGTGTGTGTGTGTGAGAGAGAGAGAGAGAGAGAGAGAGAGAGAGAGAGAGAGAGAGAGATCGATTGATCCATCTCCGGGTCTTTTCCTCTTCTTATAGGGACACTACTTCTATCAGGTTAGGGCCCTACCCTTATTACCTCATTTAACTTTAATGAAATGAGGTAAAAAGGGTAATAAGTTCTCTAAAGGCCCCCCTCTCCAAATGTAGTCACATTAGTTGTTAGGGCTTCAAATATGCATAGAAACGATTCAGTCCACAACACCAATTCTCCTCAGCAGGGAGGCAAAATCAAAATCCTCAGACAGGATTCCCAGTGGGAGGATGGCCACACAGTATGTGGAGAAGGCTGGACTCAGCACCCCAGCACTATGAATATTGAGCAAACCATTTTGCAATATACATCGAACTTTGAAAAACAAAGGTGAAGTTACTCATTGCAGCATTATATGTGTATTAGCAAAGGCTTGGAAGCAACCGCAACAGAAGGGCCCACAGACAATTAAATAATAGAATACTATGTAACTGTGAAAAAAATAAGGGAGCTCTGAGAGGAGTGTCTGGGATGGAAAACTCTCTGTGATGGGGTGTTAAGTGGAAGAGAAATTTAGAACAAGTGAGTAGTTTACTACATGCCCAGCAAAGGAAACAAACATCTATTTTCGATTATTACCTGTGCGTATGTGTGTACATGTGTATGTGTGTGTGCATCTGTGTGTTTGCCAGTAGGTATGTATTTGCTCACATATATTTATTTATAAATGACACAGCTACGGTTGCTATGGAGGGAGGAATTGAATAGCTGAGGCCAGAATGGGAGGGAAAGTTCTGTGGTATGTTTGTGTATTTGGGGGTTGTTTGTTTGTTTAGAAAGCAGATTCTGAAGACTGTTTGCTGTCCAGGATGTTTACTGCAGAGTGCCCTTGGGATCAATGCCTGTGAGAGAGGAGAAGGAATCCAGTTTGAGCCCAGGCGGGAGCTGACCTGCAGCTGAGGCCTGGCACCAGCATCCTCTGCCTGCCCACTGAGAACTCAGGAGCTGGAATGGTTTAAGAGTTATCTTGCTTTGGACCTTCAACAGTCACTGGGTGTGAGCTTCCAGGAGAGGGTGTGAGCTTGGGAGGGGCTCTTCACAGCTGCAGCAACACTTATGGGCTGCAGATGCAAGCTCGATGCTCATCACACTCCCCTGCTCTTCACACTCCCTGAGGTTGGACAAGTCCTTCCTGGAATGGGAATCTGAAGGCCTCACTCTGTATTGAGCCCGGCTGTACCCTCAGTGCCTAAGATCACACAACAATAGGAGCATAGCATGCTTTCAACAAATAAGTGTTCCATGAATGTATGAAGGCACCAGACACTGTGCCTGGCTCAGATGGAGTTGTAAGCAAAATCACTGGTAGGCGCTGCCTTCAGGGAGCTTGCTTCCTGGGTGGGGAGAGGAAGTAATGAATCCATCACACAGACATAAATTTCAGTCATGAAGTGACCTGTGATGAAAAGGATCATGGTGCCAGAAAAGCAAGAGCAGGTAACTGACAGGAAGGGCATGGAAAACTGTCGTGGGAAGTGACAGTGACGTGTGGGTTTCCATCTGAAGAACGAGCAGGATTTGTTTAGGTAAAGGAAGGGATGGATTTATCTTTTGAAAATGTCACTCTGGATTGAATGAAGAGACTGAATGACAGGGGGCGAATGTGTGCGTGTACACAGGATTGTTAGGAAACTATGGAAATCCTCTAGCAGAGGGGTGATGGTTACCAGAATTAGGGGGACTCTTGTGGTTGGGAGACACATCTGGATTTGAGAATTATGAAATGCACAATAGATGAGACTCCCTTATGGCCTGGATATAGGAGGTAAGAGATAAATTGTATAGATGGTTGAGAGAATATTGGAAGAGGAAGTAGTGCATTTTACTTTATTTCCTGTTTATGTATGTATATGGGGAAGAACAGTGAAAGAATTATCATTTTGATTTTGAGGTATTACACCTCCAATATGAAAAATCAAGTAGACCATCGGTTTTAAGAATGAAGAATTCAGACATGTATCCTGAACTAGAGATACCTTTTTTTTTTTTTTTCTGTGTAGGTGGTATTTTAAAATGTGGGAGTAGATGAGATTGCCCAGCTAGAAAACAGTGAGAAGAGATGAGTCGAATGACCTTGAGGAACCCCCATGGTTAGTGAAAACAGATTTATCAAAGAGAAACAGGACCAACTTGATATGTTGGAGGAAAATGTGGTATTACCTCAGGACAGCGTTTCTACAAGGAGTACTCAACAGTGTCAAAACTACTGAAAGTACCTGAGAACTGAAAAATACAGTTGCACTGATAACAGGGAGATCATTGGCGGTGTTTGTGAATCGCTGTTTCTGTTGCAGAAGGAAGGTTAGGGTGAGTGGAGACGTGGTCACACAGAAGTTGAGGGGCTGCTTTAGGATGGGACGGGGCACTCAGAGTTTACAAGAAAGAATGAAAAGTCCCTGCAGAGGACTTATTTTAAATACTACGGAGTGACTGTTGCAATGGGAAGAGAGTGCAGGGGTGCAGAGGTACCTGCTTCTCCAAGCGTTATTAATAAGGGCGACTTGTAAAGGGTGCTCGGCTCTCCAACTGTTTCACGAAAGGTCAACGTGTGTCCATGCTCAGAGCGATGAGAACCAAAGCAAGAGGATCTTAAATACTATATTGATTTTGATTATGCTGGGATAATGGTAAAGATGCTAAAGATCAATCTGATGACACCCGGATGGCAAGGAAAGCACAAGCGCCAATCAGGCCCCCATCCCGAGGCGCCGAGGAACGCGGTCACGGCTGGCCAATCACAGCACAGGAAATCCCCGGCGCGCTCCTGGCCCGGGACTCCAAGGGTTAAGATCAACGAGCGCTGCATCCTAGAGGGGCCCCCGCACAGCCCGCCGGGGAGGTCGGGGCCACTTCCTGTCCCGGCCTCGGTCGGAGCGTTTGGGACCCCGGGCGGCGGGGTCGGCCGGGACAGGGCTCTTCCTCCGGGACCCCTGGGGGTCGCTGGGGGGCGGCGCGCCGGGAGCGCAGCCCGGAACCGTGAGTCCTCCGGTCCGGGAGCCGAGGGCTGCGGGCGGGAGGGCGGAGCTGCGGCGCCGGCGTCCGAGGGTCGCGCGGGCGGGCGCGGCGTCCGGAGCGCGGCGCGTTTCCCCTGAGGGCTGTCGGCCCAGAGCTGCGCTCCACCCCTCACCTGTCTGCGCTGTCCCAGTGACAGCGGCCATTCTCAGTGGCGTGACCTCTTAAGGACATGCTGTTGTGTCATTGATGACCTCAATTTGCCCCCTTAGCTCCAAAGCCAGTAGTAGCGCAGGGGAAACGGTGGGACGGGGATCGGCCCCCCGAACCCTTGAGTCCTTGCTAAATTAAATTCCTGGATAGAAATGCCCGTTTTAACAGCCACCGCCCCCCGTTTTGCCTTCAGGTATAGGATTTTTTTCTTCCCAATGAAACACTGGTGCCTAGTGTGTTTGGAACGGCCACAACAGTGGAGGCACTCTTGGAGGAGTATTTGCATTTCGGGATTAAGCCCAGCGCTGCTCCCTCTCTCCTCCGCGGTCTCTGCTCTGCTTCACAGTATCGCTGTATGGGATGGGCTTCCAGGAGGTGGGCCTCCCAATCCTGCTCTACTGTTTCTTGGTTGTACCTTGGGAAAGCTTCTTTATACCTTTCAACTTATCTGTGAAACCATCTTTAAGTTTTTTTTTTTAAAGATTAAAATATGTGGGGCTATTTATACACCTCAGGCTATTTTGAGAATGATAAGAGAACCGTGCAGATTATTTATTTCACTATCAGGCACATGACAAGCAGCAGCTGGATAAAAATTATACTGTTTTTTTTTTCTCGTTTGTTTTTAATATGTGTGCCTTTGGAGATTCTTCATTTTAGGCCCTTTTATATTATTTACATCCTGAAATGAATCCAGGTCAATAGATAACTGCCTTCTGGTGGTAGACCACATTCTCTAATCCCTTAAAGTGGTCTGGGGGTGTAGTTGGCTCCAGAAGATGAAGTGTGGGCTGAAATGGTCAGCATGATTATGATAGGTTAATAAACTAAGTGCAAGTCTGGAAGAAGTCCCTGTTTTGTCTCCCTTTTATACTTAGAAGTGACTGGCTACAATTATTTCAGCTCTGCTTTGTTCTGTTGTTACTGATTTTATAAATCTTAACTTTCCATTGAAACTGACTTTCTTCCTTCTGTCAACCACCTGGTTAGTTATTCTTTTGAAACTGAACAAGTTGCTTTCTCTTCTTTAGCTGCTTCTTATGCCAGCATAGGGATTTCTTGGAGTCTTTATAATAGTTACTAGTGATGCCTTTTCTGCAAGAATATTTTGTTTTTTCAAATATTGGGTATGTGGCTCAAGTGGTAGCGTGCTCGCCTGGCATGCGTGGGGCGCTGGGTTCGATCCTCAGCAACACATAGAAATAAAGATATTGTGTCCACCAAAAACCAAAAAAAAAAAATATATATATATATATATTAAAAAATTCTCTCTCTCTCTCTCTCTCTCTCTCACACACACACACACACACACACACACACACACAAAGGTATTTTTATGAGTGGACATCAAGTACTAGTGTTCATGTCTATATTTGAAGCTTGACCTTCAGATTTTTAATGCAAAAGTAATAATAAATAGTATAAATTATGATAATTTAAAAATTATTTTCTTAGAATAGGAAAATCAGGATTACTCTTATTTCTGAACACAGCCAATTTTCTTCAGTATGGTCTCAACAGAACATTCTGTGCCTACAATTGCTATGTGTAATTGTTGGGAAGGAAGGAGGAATAAACTTAGAACAAGTGCCTCCAAATGTGACCCCTGTTTCTATCCACAGGGTTTCTGCTCCCTAAACTGGCTGTGATTATTGTGATGGAGCAAGGAAAGGAACTGTTGGTGGCAGAGTCTAAAGGTTTCACCAAGAGGGAAAATTTGAGAGTCGTCTTTTCAGGTGAGGGATTGAGAAGATTGTCTGAATCATTAGGCAGTTTGTTACAAGATGTGCTAGAGACCCTGTGGACAGAACAAGGTGTTAGAATGAGACAACACTTACCTTGGATCTCTGCTCTGTCACTTATAAATTGTGTTAATTATTTTGGCCTCAGTTTTATCATCTTTAAGGAAAAGATAGATGATGAATGATAATCTGTATTTCACAAATATTTTAGGATTAATGAGATACCACATGGAAAGCTCCTGTTCTTAGTAAAGGTGGTTATTGTTATTTCTGTATTTGCTCATATTTTAACTAAGCTGTTGACAGGTTGGATGTTGTCAGATGGGATCCTGTACACTTTCTCCCCTACTTAGATTCCCTTTTTTCTTTCATATCTTCTAGCATAAAGTTTAATGTGTTATGTTTAGATTGAGGTTCTCCTTGACAGTTGCTAACAGGTTCAATTGCTTCACTTGTGCTGTTAATTCTCCTGCTTCTGGTGAACACATAGAATAAAAGAAGTAAAAAGCTTGAAAACATTTTTTATATATATATAAAATACTTGATGAGGTTTTGCATTGTTTTTTCCTCTGTTTCACTACAATTCAGAATTTTCTAGTAGAGATCAGGAAATATGTTTAGAATATTTGTTTATTTTTGCAGGAGATGAAAGTAAGAATATTATGGGAACTGCGCAACACAATACTCCTCAGGCAGAGAAACTCTGTCTTAAAGATAGACTTTCAAAATGGCCTAAACATCATGGACCAGAGAATATTAAGAATGAGGATACAAAAGAAGCACCATTAGCATGGTCCCAAGAAGATGAGATGTGGTGTCATGATTCCTATGAGAATGATGGCATGTCACAGTGTTGGGAAAATTGTATAAGAAAAGCAGAAAAACCCAACCACCAGGAATGGGACCCGGAAGAACATAACAGTGTCTCTGTACAGCAGAATTCATCCTTGGGAGAGAAACCCTACAAATGTTTGGAATGTTGGAAAAGCTTCAGCAATAGTTCTCATTTGCGTACTCATCAGAGGACCCACTCTGGAGAAAAGCCTTATAAATGCTCTGAGTGTGAGAAATGCTTCTGTAATAGTTCTCACCTGATCCAGCATCTGAGAACACACACTGGGGAGAAGCCGTACCAGTGTGGCGAGTGTGGGAAAAGCTTCAGCAACACCTCCCATCTTATTATCCACGAGAGGACGCACACAGGGGAGAAACCCTACAAATGTCCCGAGTGTGGGAAGAGTTTCAGCAGCAGCTCCCACCTCATTCAGCACCACAGATCACACACAGGTGAGAAGCCATACGAGTGTCCTATCTGTGGAAAAGGCTTCAGCCACAGCTATGTCCTAATAGAACATCAGAGGACTCACACTGGAGAAAAGCCCTACAAGTGCCCCGACTGTGGAAAGAGCTTCAGTCAAAGTTCCAGTCTGATCCGCCACCAGCGGACACACACAGGTGAGAAGCCCTACAAATGTCCTGAATGTGGAAAAGGTTTTGGTTGTAATTCTACTCTAATTAAGCATCAGAGAATCCATACGGGAGAAAAACCCTATCCCTGTGCAGAATGTGGGAAGAATTTTAGTCGAAGCTCCAACCTTATAGCACACCAGAAAACGCACACAGGAGAGAAGTCCTGTGGAAATTCTGAATATGAGGAAAGTGTGCATCAGGACTGCAGTGTGGTAGAGGACTGCAGAGTCCAGCCAGGAGAGAAGCCCTATAAATGCTGTGAATGTGGGAAGAGTTTCGGCCTTAGCTCCCACCTCATTAGACATCAGAGAACGCACACAGGGGAGAAGCCTTACAGGTGTTCTGAGTGCTGGAAGACTTTCAGTCAGAGTTCCACCCTAGTGATCCACCAGAGGACTCACACAGGAGAGAAGCCATATAAATGCCCCGACTGTGGTGAGTGCTTCAGTCAAAGCTTTAACCTCATCAGGCACCGAAGGACCCACATAGGAGAAAAACCTTACAAATGTCCCGACTGTGAGAAATGCTTCAGCAGAAGTGCCTATCTCAGTCAGCATCGGAAAATTCACATGGAAAAGTCTCTTGAGTCTCCTAAAGTGGGGGGTTTCCTTCATGAGTGGATGTGGAAAAGCTGTTCAGGGAAAATGGCCCTCCTCCCTTCATTTTCAGTCTCAAATTCATCTTCTACCTGAGTTCCACGGATGTTTCATGCTGTCCCCCCCCCCCCATTATTAGGAAGGTATTTGGTGATAATTGTGCTCTAAGGTTTATTGGTGTGTTTCCCAAAGTCAACCTCTCTGTTTAGAGGGAAAAACAAATCCACTGGCTACCTAATCTGTCCAGGGAGAGGCCACCAAAGACTGAGGAGGAACTTTTAAAATGTAAAGTGAGGTAGGAATGGCTTCAGATGGAAATGGAGAGTAATCCTGGGAGTGAGCCAAAAGACCTGATGCTAGAATTGCCATTGAATCACCTCATTTCCTTTTGTCTTATTGAGTGTAGACAGAGCATTATTGTTCTTAAGAGTTTACCCAGAAAAGTTCATTTTGAACAAATAATGCCATTACCTGGCTGTTTTTGGAGGTCTTAAGAAGAGATGTACTTTTTCCAAATTCATTTTTATTTTCTAAAAATGAATTTGCTTCTAGAACCCTGTGTCCATTACCATAGCTTTTAGCCATATATGGCTACTTACACTTATGTTGATTAAATGAAATTTAAAATCCAATTCCTTAGTCAACTAGCTCCTTGAAAAGTGCTCAGTAGCCACATATGACTAGTGGCTGTTGTATGGGATATCATCATAGAAAGTTCTTTATTTCAAGATCATCATTCTAGAGAGACTCATAAGTCTTTCCTTTCAGGGTAGGAATGCACTCTGGGGTTTTGCTCTCCAATAGGAATTGAAATAGAATAGAAATGGAATAGTTTTGAAAGCACTGGGTCAAGAAAGTGGGTATTCTAGTGACTCTGTGTTCTCATTTATGTTCCACCAACTGGGTTATGTAGTGATAAAACATCATTGTCTTGACTAAAGCCAGGATAGGAAGTAGGATCCTGAGTTATTCTGTTTTTAAATTTTAGATAATCTTTTGCCTGAATTTTCTCTTCATGTTATTCCTGATTAGATTAGGAACTGGATTCTTTTTCTAATAATTAACACATTAATTCTGAGCCAGTGTCCAAGAATAGTTTCTTTGAACACTGATATTCTTTAGCTCCAAGACTGGCTGTTTTCTTGGGCCTCTTGACATACTTGGTCTGGGGATCTGATGATTGCCATCATCAGTTCTATAGGAATGATGCTTTGGGAGGTATTAGATATATCCTATTCCCCTCTCTCACTTTTTCCTACAATTGTGAAACGTAAACGTGTAAAAGTTCAGAATTCCTCTGAGTTGCCCAGGATTGCATTTTATTGTGGGATTCAAAATATTATGAAGAATATGTCAAAATGGTATTTTAGGAACGTGAAGTTAGACAGGACCGACTGCTGAAAAGGTTGTAGCTGACAGGTAATTGGTTTGTATGAGGATTTTTTCATCTTTCATGCTTGTGGCACACGTGTCCTTTAGTATTGTTATATGATTAAAAAAAGAAAAAAAGCTAATAAAGGAATTTAAGATATATTTGGGGGTGGTTTTCTGCTTTCAGAATTTTTTTTTTTTATGTGACTCCCACCTATGCATCTTTCTGCCTTTGTATGTTATATAGTAAACCCCAAGTTATCTTAAGTTGTAATATCTCAGGGCAAGTTTTGATAGTATTTTTTTTTTTTTGCCACAGAAAGCTGAGAGTTCAATTAATGATTGGTAATTAAATTATGAGTTTAGGGCTGGGGATGTGGCTCAAGCAGTAGCGCGCTCGCCTGGCATGCATGCGGCCCGGGTTCGATCCTCAGCACCACATACAAAGATGTTGTGTCTGCCGAAAACTAGAAAATAAATACTAAAAAATTCTCTCTCTCTCTCTCTCTCTCTCTCTCTCTCTCTCTTTTTAAAATAAATAAATAAATAAATGAATTATGTGTTTATTAACAAGGCTGAAATTTAGTATCAAGGCAGCAGCTATGAGGCTAATCACATGATCTATGGCAAGTGGCCCCTCTGAGCCTCAGTTCCTTCCTCTGTAAAATGAGGATAATGCCTACCTTGCAAGGTTGGTATAAGAATTAAATGTTTACAAAAGTTCTGCCAGAAAGCTTAAAATAAAATGCGGTTAATATAAATATTAATGGTATTATTATTCATTGAAACAAATTAAAAAATGTCATCCACATGAAAAATACAGCAATACAGCTCCAAACTTATCCTGCTTAGAGATTCTATTTGATTCATTTCAGGAACCAAAGGAACAAGGTATTAGAAAAGCATGAGATGATATGTGTTTTATGGGCTGTCAAAAATACTTTTATTTACAACACTTGGTACAGTCAGCTATAATAGGGCAGGAAATATTACTGAAGTTTTTATTATTCATGAAACAAAGGATTTGGTTTAAAATACAAAAGATCAAAACAGCATGTTTGACAGCAGGTAAATGTGTGTCCTCTCACCATCACCTGCACTATGTTTTATGACTGCTAACAAAAGAAACATGTTACAAACTTGAGCTCTACAGGAATATAGACATTCACATTTTATATTGGTTAAGATGAACTCCATTATTAAAATAGTTTGGTGAGAATCCTTGTATCTGGATAGGAAATAAGGAAAATAGAAGAGATTTGTCCTTTGTGATGAAAAATATAACATTCAATAATATTTTATGTTTTTGCCTCAGTTTCACTAATCAGCTGATAGGTTCTTTGTTTAGCTCCATACAAAATAAATATTCCGTATTCTCTATTTTTCTTGTTGGAACAAAGGATTCAGCAGCATATGAATAAAGAAATAATAAATTTCTTATTCACAAATTATTTGTTTTATAGTATCTTTTTAATTAAAGACATTTTTCCTACTTAAAGAAGGGACTTATTGCTGGACATGGTGTTGCATGCCTGTAATCCTAGAGTCTTGGAAGGCTGAGGCAAGAAGATTGCAAGTTTGAGGCTAGCCTTGGCAACTCAGCAAGCCCCTGAGCAAATCTTAGCCAAGACCCTGTCTCAAGCCAGACTCAGTGGCTCACGCCTGTAATCCCAGTGGCTAGAGAGGTTGAGACAGGAAGATCGCAAGTTCAAAGCCAGCCTCAGCAAAAGTGAGGCACTAAACAACTCAGTGAGACCCTGTCTCTAAATAAAATAACAAAATAGAGCTGGGGATGGCTCAGTGGTTGAATGTCCCTGAGTTCAATCCCCAGTAACCCCACCCCCTCAAAAAAAAAAAAAAAACCCTGCCTCAAAATACAAAATAAAAAGGACTGGGGTTATAGTGGTAGAGTGCTCATGGGCTCAATCCCAAAACAACAAAAAACCGATATAAAAAATAAGGGGCTCCTATTTTTCTCTTCCAGTGTAACAGAAATATGTCAATGTGCATACTTACAGAAGAAACAGGAAGCACCCTTCCTAGCTGCTTTACAACCTTCCAGGTACAAGCTTAAGCCTCTCCTAGTACTGGAGGTAAAGGCTGGCTCTCATCATCCCATGTCATCCAAGCTGGACCTGTTACTGGTGTTAGAGGCCAGAGGCCTGACTTGGGGGCCACAAAAGACCAGATTTGGCCACCTACCACCTTAAAGAGTCCAGAGAAAGATGAGTGGAAGCAAACAAAGGAATTTGTTATTTACTGTAGCCACACTGGGAAGAAATGGGGACCTGCATCCTAAGCCCTGTCTTCAGGGTAATGATCAGAGCTTCAAGATTGTATAGGGAAGAAAAAACAGTGGAACAGGACAGGGAATATGCGTGACATTGAGCAGTCTTGGTCCAACTGCAGTCTGGTTGATTGACTCTGGTCTGGTTCTGCTGGCATCAGGAAATCTTATTGCCCTCCTTTAAGGGGGAAATGTAGTTTCCTGAACCCTCCATCTTCAAATTTAATTATCTGGTCATCTGAGGAGCTAGAAATAACTATAGATTAAGGTAGGTTAGGTTTGCTCTAAAAAAGCAAGATGTGCAGTTTGACACCATGACTCACAGTCCATGGTTAGATACGGAGTATGAAAGGACACTTGCAAAGTTCAAGGATTACCCCACACAGCAGAATCCCACTCGAGAGATTTATTGTCAGACCATGGAGCAAACTGACAAGGCTGTCCCTGTGAGGAAAGCAGCAGCCTGTTGGCACTCACCCGGCAGCTTTATAGCCTACAGGAGGAATTTCACAAGTATGCTTTAGGGGTTATGTCATGGGCTGGGGTGGGCTGGACCCTTTAGCAGGCACACATTCTTATGGGAGGCTAAGCAGCATTGCCTCAAGATCTCTAGATAAAATGGCTCCTAAATCAAAACCTAGGAGTCCCTAGATAAAAATGGCTCCCAGCCTAAAATGGTGGATCTGATGGCAATATTGATCTGATGCCAAAAATCATATGCTTATGGATTTTACGCCACTGTTCAAGAGTATGTGCTCCTACTAGAATGTACACCAAGTGCAGGGATAGATTCCATTTTGTAACCCAAAGCCTGACACGGAGCAGGAGCATTGTTTTTGGTTGTTGAGAAATGCAAAGGATGAGGTTTTCTGGATCAGGTTGTGTAATCTCAACATTTCCTCAGGTTCCTTTCACACCTTTACTTGATCTGGCCCACAGAGCTGGGCTGATTTGGAAGTACAAGCAGCTGCCCTGAAGGGTGTGCATGTATTAACCCTGGAGGACTAAAATGTTCTCCTTAGAACTTTGCACCCAGATTATGTAGGACAGGGTCAAAACCCGTTTCAAATTCAGATTTCAATCACTTACTGGCTGTCTCCTCTGTACTTTTCATTGTAGGATTTGGCAAGCTGTGAATCAGGTGAGGTTCCAGGCATGCCACAGATATTAAGGAAATGACTGTTTTCCTTCCTGTGCACACTCATTTGCTCATAATTTTGTCAAAGGTAGGTAGGATTCAATTAAACAGAAATGTTTAATTGCACCTTGGGGTATTGGTGTCTAAAATAGAGATAACATTTATCACATGAGTTTGTTGGGAGGATCAGTGAGATAAGGTACTTGCTTAGCATTGCTGGTACCTAGTAATTGCTCAGTGTCAGTCATTACCATCACGAAGTGGCCCTAGACCATTATGGGTTTTTGGATCATTTTAGAAAGAAACTTCAGAGACATGAGTGTCTCCTGAGACCACTAAAATAGGGCATCTTTTTGTTATTGTCTGCCCTAGGAACATGAAAAGACATAAATAGGAGTGTGTAAAAAGCCATTTGGGAGGCTAATATTGTAGCTTAATCATTATTGCAATTTGGTAGTATTTTGCCGCAGTCTGGCTGGGCACAAAATCACGAGCCACTCACAGCTTTGTAGATTCAAACAGCAATTCTTTATTCCTGAACTCACACCGGCCCTCTACAAACACGTTCTGGGGAAAATCAGGTTCTGGGCCTACTCCACCAGGCTCTTATCAGCAGGATACGCCCTATTCCCAGCAGGGTACACCTTAAACCTGGAACCACCCTAAACCCAAGGAGCAGGATACTCCCTAAAACCTGATCCCCTAAACCTGGATCCGCCCTGGTCCTTGAGTAAGGTCACTTTACTCAAGCATATATGCAATGTCACTGCAAATGTCCAAGGCAAGTCCATTTCCACGAGTCCTTCCTCTAAGCAACATGGGGTACGCTGGCAAGGAAATTGTCATCCCTACTTGGCTAATGGCTCTCAGCAGTATTTGAGCAACTTCTGCTTTTTCTGTTTATAAATTACCCTACCTTTACTTCCCTAACCCCTTCATTATTTTTAGTTTCTGTTCACTTTTATCTTTCTCTGGCTTTAACCTCTTCTGCCTGTTAAGTCGGTATAACAACTCAAATTTAGGCTTTTTTTCTATCCTTTTATTTTTAAAAGTTTTTTTTTTTTTTTTTTTTTTTTTTTTTTAGTTATAGATGGACACAATATCTTTGTTTTATTTATTTTCTATGTGGTGCTGAGGATTGAACTCAGTGCCTCTCATGTGCTAGGCAAGTGCTCTACCACAAAGCTATAACCCCAGCCCCTCTACCCTTTATTTTATTTTCTTGCTTTTCCTCCCCTCCCATGACTTGGAATCAAATCAAAGCTGAGTATGGTCCAAATGGCGCCATTTGGTTACATATGGAAACGGGATGGTAGATGTATTAATATGTTTTTTTTAATTATTGCTATGAAATACCTGAGACAGTACTTAATAAAGAAAACAGGTTTGGCTTTTAGAAGCTGAAAGTCTATGATTGGGCAGACCCCTCTCTTTGGACTGTGAGGACCCCCTGGCTGCATCACAACATGGTGGAAAAGTAGGAATGGAAATGTTACATGCATGTAGCTAATTGCATGGGATGGCCTTCCTTTGGAACAGCCCACTCTTGTGAGAATTCACCTTGAGACTGTGCTGTGGATGATGCCTCCCTTGACCTAGGACCTGGCACAAGGCCCCACCTCTTAAAGGTCCCAGCACTTTTACAATGCCACACAAAGAACAGGCTTCCAAAGGACACGAATCTTTGGGAGACACACTGAAACCATATCTATATCATAGCACCTGGCAATTATGACCCAGTGGGCATGTAGTTACTTAGAAGCAGAGGAAGAGTGTGGGTGCCAAGACAGCACGTTTCTGGTCTAACATGGCTTGACTCTGGTCAAATCAGTAGATGTTCAAAGGTTTGACAGAATGAGGGATGGAGTGGAAGCCTGGTTCAGGATTACCACAATTAATTTTGACCCATGCTGATCCCTGAATAAATGGTAAGATTAAGAAAATACTAGTTGATGAGGCTGTTAGACACAGGAGATGTCCCCCCTTAACATGGCTCATTTGAAAACATGCAACAAAGTACAAATTAAGAAATACATAAAAGTATGAAGATCAAAATAAGAATGACTCATAATCATTTTTTCCAGAGTTCACCATAAAAATTCTGAGACTTTTTCCAACAGTCTCTTTTCTAAGCATAGTTATGCATAAATATAAAAAAATAGGATCATATGGTATATATCTAGCATTGTCTTGATTTTTTCTTAATATTAGATCATTTGTCATTGTACTTGTTTAAAAATTATGAGTTTTAATGGCTTCACCATATTATACTAAACTGATGTGTCATACAATTTAATTGTCTTAATATTGGATGTTTATATTATTTCTCCTTGTTTGATATT